AAGATTGTCAGAAAATTGCGGACTCAGGACCAACCGGGACTCATTGCCGAATTAGAAAAGCAGCTGTTGAAGATATTTGAAGTTAAATAAAATATGTATAAAGGTATAACTACAATGCCTACATCTTAATAAAATTATGTAGAAATATTAATAAAATACTTATTTTAGAATGAATCCGTTTCCACTACTGATACCAGGGAAGTAAACACCAAGAAGTACAAGAAGTCAGGAGAAGATCAATGTCCACCGTTTTGATGTACCAGACCTGGACACTAGAATGATTAACGGCAGGCTGACTAGTAATATTTACAAGTCTATTTTTTGTATATTATTTTTTCTCAAGTCAATTATCATTTCAGGGTTGCAGAGATCATTTTTTCAAGTTGGGACAACACCAGGATTTCTAACTAACGACCAGGAAAGAGGATGTCCATATGTAGAGGTTTTCTCATATTAATAAAAGTTAATTTAGTTAGTTATAACTGTATAGTATTTTTATTGTTATATTTATATCAATATTACCGGGGCCCCGTTTATGTTTTCATCCCTATTTTTAGGGGAATTTGTGTTTTTTTTAATATTTCTAGATGTTATTCTGAAAAAATTGTGAGAAAACTGCGGACCCAAGACCAACCAAGACACCAGAAGCTGCTACCGAATTGGAGGACAAGCGCATGAATGAAATGTGAGAAAAGACTATCTCAGTTTTATTGTATTATTATTACTTTTGTGTAGTTAGTTATATTATATTATAATTGTATTATAGAATTCTTTCAGTTAAGGTCAAATTTAAGGGCGTTTTGGTATTGTAATCTTCGGTTATACACTTTTTTGAGGTTGTTCGCGTATTTTTGTTGAGAGCTCGACGGGGTGGCGTTGTGGAAGAACCTTTCTTATATTTTCCGCGTTTTTCTTTACATCAAATAATTAATAATTGGGAATCACAATAATTTTCCCTTAAACTTCATAGGCTGGGAACCTATGAAGTTTTCTTGTGTTTACATGGTGGATCTGGGGGGTACATCATGTAAATGCTTTTTTTATAATTTTACAATTACCGTTATAATTATAAAGTACAGTTTTTATATAAATATTGTATTATTTTAAACGAGAGGTTCCTTCCATTTTTAAAAATCATGATTTTAGGGTCTATTGATCATGTCGCAGGGTCTTTTTCGCATTGCATTTTGGATATATAGTTAGGTATAATTAATTAATATGTTAGTTTAAGTGGATTAGGGCTGCACAAATCGATACTTAGTAATATTTACACTATATCCATTTCCATCTGAAATGTTAGATATGTAAATATGAAATTCAGTATCTATTTCTGTGGCGACACCACATTAAAAAAAACGCGCCTGGCAACTTTACCTCATGGGTGGTGCGGAAAATAGTTGCACCCTAGTTATAAGTTTGATTATGAAAGTTAATATTTTAATAAATATTTTATTTGATGTATTATGTATATCAATTAAAATGATTTATCAATATAGGTCAATGTATAATTTGTTTGCATCACTAATGATGATTACAAAGCAATATCTAAATGATTTAATAGAAATATATTTAATAAAATAATAAAAATTTTCAAATTAATATATTAGCTTTTAATTTATTACCTCTTTATTTTTACAGAACTTAGAGAAAAATAATTATATTTTTGACAAAAATATTGATAATTAATTTTAAATAATTAGTAACTATGGATGTTGATAATTTACTGTCTTCTCACATTTTATTACTTACAGTCTGTAATCATTATTTAATTCACCTGTTTTTTATTTGCGTCCTTTTGAGAGTAAGATTTTGCTACACTAGTGCGATATAGTAATGAGTCTTGTAGTACATAATTACTTAAAAATATTAAAAGCGTACAATTATTTATTTACATTTTATATAACACAAAACACCAAAATTATATTTATAAGTAATTATTGGCCGTAAACTAGTTCTTATAGCATAGGCATATTAAATATACTTTTTTTGGTTCTTCTTTCAAAGTAAATACTTATAAGTATTTACTTAGGAAGAAAAAACAAAATGTTATATATTTCATGAAATATATCTTATAAAATATATAAAATTAATGTTGTAACTTTTTAATTTCTGTTGAAAATAAGCATATATAATGTCATTCTCAAAATTTTGATCAAAATTTGATTTCACTTGTCGCTTAGTTATAAATGAAATTGAATTTTACCCTTGTTATTTCCATATAAACTTTGGTTGGACTGCGGACTATCTTAAAGTTATTAAGAGCTAAAACTTTCAAAGACCAAAAAGACAAAGAACAAGTCCGCTGTCCAACCAAAGTTTTTTAGTATGGAAATAGCATGGAAAAAATTTTGAAAATTAAAAAAAAAAATTAGGTATAACTTAGCGACAAATGAATTAAAAGTGAAAATTCGTGTCATTTTTTGTTGAAAATTCGACGCTCTGCAAAATTTTTGAAAATTTCTTCATGCTATTTCCATATAAAACTTTGATTGAATTGCGCTCAGAGAATTGTTTTTTATCAATTTGGAACCATTCAAGTCCTTGGGAGCAAGGAAATTCGAAAATGTCCATATTAAGGACATATATATATATATATATATATATATATATACATATTCAATTTTTGTGCTGTTATATAATAAACATATTTTAACGGAAATAATTTAAATTTTTTGTTATTGCAGAATGAGTCTCCATGAACGAAGAAATGTTCAAAAACCTAAATTATATAAAGAATTAATAAAAGTATATATAAATAATTAATAAAATAAGTACTGCTACTTACTATGTGAAAATTTTCATTCAACTGTATATTATCAAATAGCATAAACAAATCGAAATATTAAGTTACTGAAAACGATGAAAGTAACATTTGAAACGGATTTACTGCGCATGTGTCCTGCTTCGGAATATAGATTTACAAATTTCGCGAGAGAAAGTCTTGACATCTATTTCATGTGCTTCATGTAGGAGTTTTCACCAAGCAAAATGAATTTTCATTTAATAATAATATCAGTTATTATATTAAGTTTAGTTACTTCTTTACGGGGTAAGTCAATCACTAATAATTCCTGAATGAACATCTAATTTTTCATAATTATTTATTATGGAAACAATATTTTGTGAGACCGTATAATACCATATAAATACCCAAGTCTTTCTTTATATTATAATATTATTGACACATTCGCTTAAAAATCATAAATAAAATCATTGTCTCTGGATAAATAAAATCAAGCTCTCTGGTTTAGGTGCAAACGTCTAATACTCATTAAGATTTAGTAATTTTTTATTAAAGGTGTTTTTTTACTTAAATTACAAAATACAATATAATACAAAGTAAAATATTTGTTGTCAGATAAGGACTTATAAGCTGAGTAAAACTTATTAATTTTGTTTAAAAAGTTTTGTTATAGATAAAGATAGGGGCGGGGCAAATGTAGTTCTATTGATACTTTAATAAATTTATTTCACTTTGATGAAAAGTGGTTTAAAAGATGTTAGCATATTTCTTGTGCATGCTATAATTTAAACATTATTTCTTCAACAATTTTTTTTACATTCATAATAATAGCAATGTCATAACTGATAATTTCGTTGTCAAAATATAATTTATTACGAATTATTAATTAATTAAATAATTAGTATACAAAATTACACCAATTTTATCAATATGTTGTGATTTGAATATATTATTCCTCCACATACCATAATACTAGCATTTTGATAATGCCGTTTTTAAATTATGATTTCTTCCAAATTCATTTAATATTGAATAAATTAATAGCTAATTAACTATATTATCAATTTATAAAGTAGCATAGAAAAAAAACTGAAATCAATTTTTGTTCAATTTCTGATGAATAAAGTTGCTAGAAATACACAATTATCTTTATTTTCATGCGCCGATTGAAATCAATTTTTTTTTATCAAAATTAAATGGACTATATAGATTTGCGTTTCTTAACAATGTATTAATTATTAAATAAAAATATATTTATAATAATGCTTTCTAATTATTTTAAAAGGATTTTTATAATATAGGGATATATTATAATTTATTAATTTTATAATATATAAGTATATATTATAATAATATAATTGTATGATTTTTAACTTTAGAAAAACTAACTAAAACTAAAACTATAAACTTATGTATGTACCTTTAGCCTTTCTACATTTACACTAAAAGAAACAATTACATATTGAAACTAATAATTGTAAATAAATCAACTAGTAATTGGATAATATCTAATATATAATAAGATATTATAATATAATATTTATATATATATATATATGTATATATTAGGTGTGGTTCTTAATATGGACATTTTCGAATTTCCTTGCTCCCAAGGGCTCAAATGGTTCCAAATTGATAAACAACAATTCTCTCAAAGTTTTAGCTCTTAATATTGTTTTTTAGATAGTGCGCAATTCAATCAGAGTTTTGTATGGAAATAGCATATTTTTTTCAAAAATTTTAAAAATGTTTTTAGATATAATTTAGCGAACAAATGAATGAATTTTACTCAAAATTTGTCGCTGAGTTATATTTAAATTTTTTTTTAATTCTCAAAATTTTTTAATTTTTCATGCGAAGTTTGATTGAATTGCGCACTATCTAAAAGTTAATATTAATAGCTGAATCTTTCAGAGAATTGTTTTTTATCAGTGTGAAATCATTTGTGCCTTTTGGAGCAAGAAAATTCAAAAATGACAATATTAAGGACCACCCTAATATATATATATATATATATATATATATATATATATATATATATATTTAATAAGATAAGTTTGATTAATTCTCTAGATAAAATTTATTTTCATTTATTTTTTATTCAAGTTTAAGTACTTTTATTATTTTATTATTTATATTTTTATACTGACTATTTTATTATTTCGCAGGAATTAAGCAATTAGAGGCAAATCCTGACGCAAAAAGACTCTATGATGATTTGCTTAGTAATTACAACCGTTTAATACGACCAGTGAAAAATAATACTGAAACTTTAACTGTATGGCTAGGTTTGAAATTATCACAATTAATTGAAGTCAATCTCAAAAATCAAGTTATGACTACAAACCTTTGGGTTGAGCAGGTAAGAGAAGAAAAATTTATTTAGTAAAATATTTGTCATGTATAAAAATAATATCAGGAGAAAATTACAAAGGTATATAGTACAGTGGATTGCAACCTTTTCGTATCGTGCTCACAATTAAAACATTCGCGTTCTTTATTTTGCTGATAATATAATTTTATCAATACTCTACTTATATTGTAATTTCAGGCTACAAATTAATAAACTGTACTATGTAAAAATTTACATGAAAATAATTAAATATTTATTCAGTTTTTGTTATTATCTCAACATTTTTGTTTCATTTTCGAAAATTGCATTTTGTAACCTGCTGTTCGCCCCTCTTATAACAGTCCTGCGCTGTCCTAAGGGGGCACGCCTCAAAGGTTGAAAACCACAGCATTTTAGGAAATATTTATTAATATTGTAAGATGTCAGGTATAATGTAATGATTTCTTTTAAATATTGTTAGAAATGGATTGATTACAAACTGAAATGGGATCCAGATGAATATGGTGGCGTTGAAATGTTATACGTGCCATCTGAGCACATATGGCTCCCAGATATAGTTCTTTATAATAATTGGGATGGTAATTATGAGGTAAGTAAAACAAATTTTGAAAACCTTAAATATTTTTTAAATCATTTCATTTGGTATTTAATTTCTTAACAATTTAAAAATTATTAAAAAATTGATTTTTATAAAAAATTCAACTTTTTCCAATAACTGTTCTAAAAAGTTCCAAATGTTATAACAAACTATGATTAATAGAAATAATAGAAACTACGCTTGTAGCATTTGAAAAAAAAATCATTTGAATCAATAATAAGTGTTTTCAACTGAATCAAATTACAGAATTTGTTCAGAAGAATATTTTGGATGGTAAAAAAAATTGTTTTTTCATTAATATGGCCTCTATCAGCTCCGAGTGAATGTTTTGTCTTTTCAATGATATCATATTTAATTTATCTATAAGTAATCTATATTGGTTAAAAAATCCAATAAAGTATCGGAAAATGTACAAATTATATATTTCGAGAGAAATTCAAAATAAGTTTGCAAATTATATATTGTGTTACAAGTTTTTATAACATATTTTAAATTATTCGTTGCATCAGTCGGATTTAAATTCTGAGATCACCAAAGGCATAGAAATTGTTTTAAAATTCGAATTTTCGAAAGTAAAAAAATACTACTTAATATAATTGGTTTTTATATATTTGAATTTATCCATTACTCCAATAATTTCTTCTTGCTGTGGTTATTAATCTTTTTCAGGACTTCGACATCTTTTAATATAAAAATGCATTAGGTATACAAAATTTTTATATTAATTATTAACTTTAATAGATTCCATATATACTAAAATAAGACATTTTCAAATTAATGGAAGGCTATGTCAATAAAAGCTTTTACTGATTATCTAAGTAAGTAATCATTTAATCGTTAAATATGCATTTTCCATGCTGATATTACGATATGATGTTATTTATACCAATAAGCAATTAAAATAAACACAATTGAAAGCAAATGAAATTTAAATTGAAATTAAATAAAATAAAAAAACAATGAAATTGTGCATAAATAATCAAAAACGATAAATATGCAATATTAACTATTATTTGTGCATTACTATATAAGTATGTTTTGTTATTATAGGTAACATTGATGACCAAAGCTACTTTAAAGTACACTGGTGAAGTCATATGGAAACCTCCAGCTATATATAAAAGTTCATGTGAAATTAATGTAGAATACTTTCCATTTGATGAACAAACTTGCTTTATGAAATTCGGATCATGGACTTATAATGGAGCACAGGTTAAAATACTATTTAAAGAGTAAACTATTCAATTAATTTTGTTTTCTTAACTCGCACAATCTGTTCAAGAAATGACGTTGCATGCTTCAGAGCTTTAGAAACATGATTCAAATTGGAAAACATTAAAAAATCCTAACCATCTAAAATTTTATTTTACATTTTAAACACTCATTTTTCTGAAATTAAATTTTGTTAGTACAAAGTTTTCATGAATAATTTTACTTTTGTTTATTGTGAAAAATAAATGCAAGGAGTTATTAATTTTTGTATAAGCGCTCTAAAATTGTGTTTTCACATTCCTCACGTTATTCTATTTTTCAAAATTATGTCTAGTTATCACATAGCTTTCATAATTAATTTGATATTTGTCTTATATGAAATAAAAAAAATTATTGTAGTTACGCAACCCGGGGCCTCCATAGCCCGGGTTACAGCTTCAGCACTGGCCCTTTATGTCATAATGAAAAATATTAAATTATTTAGATACTTAATAGTTTTCGCTATAATCTTGATTGGATTTTCGATGTATAAGTTCTTTAGGTTCGATGCCATGAGTTGTAATAGGAATTGTGATAGTTTTGTAAATTGGAACTTTATTATTATTGAAAGATTTAAGTTTAATTTGATAATGCAATGTTATTTAATGTCATTATCTTGCGTTGTGATTATTTTAAGATTTCTAATATAAGTAATTTGCTTACAGTAATTACACTTTACTGCAAAATAAAAAAACTCCAAATTAAGCAAGTAATGCAGCTAATATATATTAGCTGGATTACTTGCAGCAATCACATATGAATTTAACTTTTGCTTTATTTTTCATGTTGATTCTTACGAAAATTGTGGTATAAAATATATTATCAATATGATATTTATTTTGCACTACATTTAACAGGTGGATCTGAAGCACATGGATCAAATGCCAGGAAGCAATTTGGTGTTAAAAGGAATAGATCTGAGCGAATTTTATTATTCTGTAGAATGGGACATATTAGAGGTGCCAGCTAGCCGAAATGAAGAATATTATCCCTGTTGTCCAGAGCCATTTTCAGGTATTCATCCATAATGATAAATAATCTACTAATTCTTCAAACTTCCAATTTATCAAGACTAGCATATCCAAACATTAGCTATAAATTATAATTAAATATTATTTTAAGAATTTGGCATGCTGATAGTGATTCGATTGGCAAATTTAAAACTGGTACATATTTATAAATATGTATGTAAATATGTAACTATTTTCAGACATAACTTTCAAAATGACTATGAGGCGTAAAACGCTGTTTTATACAGTGAACTTGATAATTCCATGCGTTGGGATTACATTCCTTACCGTACTCGTATTCTATCTGCCAAGTGATTCAGGAGAAAAGGTAATAACAAAATTATATTGAAACTGATAGTGCATGGCATCGTGCATTAAGGCAAATTGCTGGAACTTTCCGTACCAAAAATTACAATTTTTAAAAAACATTCAATTTTCTTTTAGAACTTCAAAAATTATCGATTTTCGAGATTTTTAGAATTTTAGAAATAAATTGATCTGTTTGAAAATTTTGATTTTTTTATACTTTGAAATATTTTGGAAATTTTGAACTCTTTCTCAAAACAATCGCGATCCGTTAGCTGCGTAGAAACGATATATAGAAGCGCGTGGGCGCCCCATCGCGCTTTATAACGGATGAATATTGGTACAGAACTAATAGAAAAGTAAACAAAATTTGTTCTTATTATTAAAATATCTATAAAATTTTATTCTATATTTATTTTTGTTCGTCAAAATTATTTTTTTTTTGGATCTCCGAAACCGCTAGATCTGCCTTCACAGAAATTTCATCAGTTGTTCATTTTGTCAATACAACTAAAATGTTTTTTGAATCATGCAAATCGGAAGCTCTGTTCTCTCAAATCAATTACCATTTTTGGCACATTTTGTCGCCTGCCTTCGAAAGGGCGTGACCTGCTTTACAAAAAACTAATCAACATGTCTTCTTATCGTATTGATAAGTACGATATTGAATGTTTTTTAAATTATTCAAATCGGTTGATCCGAAAATTACGATGACGAAAATTTAAAACCCACACGCACATACATGCATTTTTTCTAAGTTATGCCAAAATGTTCAAAAGACCTTAAAACGTAAAGATATGCAAACAATTTTATTTTTGATTTTTTTTGCGATTACTTTAACTTACTCTACGGGAAGTTAATAATTCTCTCCTATAAGAACTATTATGCAAAGTATGTCCCAGAACTCAAACATATTGATCACAAATGTCATGACAAAAAAGAAAGAAAACAAAATGTTTAGTTTCAAAATCCTGAGCTTATAAGTTAAGGTGACCATATTTTTCAAAGTCAAAGCCGGGTCGGCAATTTTTAGTTATGCTAATTCGGGACGGGAGGTATATAATAACAGCATTTTATTTTATAAGAATTACGGACTTTTAGTAAGAACTTTATTATTCGATTATATGTCATACATATTACATCTATGATATTATATTTTATATTGATCTATATGTTTTTCGCGCTTTTAATTTTGAAAACATTAGCACTTGTTTGTTTGTTTTCATAATTTTTGTTAATTTATCTGTTAATTTTTGAAAAACTGCAACTATTTGGGACTAAAGATCTGAATCTAGTAAAAATCATGCTTTTAAAATAACCCGGGACATAAGGTGGAAACCCGGGACTGTTCCGGCCAATCCGGGACGTATGGTCACCTTATATAAGTGCATGTTAAAGCTTTGGTGTAGCCGTGACCATTTTTCGGTTATTGCGGTTGATTTTGATTAATTTTGTTCATTTGAACTTTACATAAGTAAGACCAATAAAATGAAGAATTTTGTTGTTGAATCTATAACATTTACTAATACCTTAAATTTTTTTCAGGTGACATTATGTATTTCAATCCTGCTGTCGTTGACTGTGTTTTTCCTGCTATTAGCTGAAATTATTCCCCCAACATCATTAGCCGTACCACTTTTGGGAAAATATTTGCTATTCACCATGATTCTGGTATCGCTCAGCGTTTGGACTACAGTTTGTGTTCTTAATGTACATTTTAGGTAAGAGATTCATAGTAAATGAATCATATAGAAATATTATCAATTTGAAAACTTAGGAACTTGAAATATAAGATAATTTGTCGAAGATGAAATTATGGATATTCAGTAGTTGTTTTGTATTGTTAAAACTAAATGGGGTCTAAAAACATTGTTCAATTGTAATTACAAAATTATAAAGTATACTTATTATTTTTAATATTTAAAAAATTTATAATTCATAAATTAAAATATGAATGAAAAAAATATATTTAAACTTTATACATTTTATATATAATTTGAACAATTTGTCCAATAAATTTGTTCATGGTTCTGCTCAATATGAAAGTCTTAATTTAATCAATTAAATTGTTGCAGATCACCGTCGACGCACAATATGTCTCCATGGGTTCGAAAACTGTTCTTGCATTTTATGCCCAAAATTTTGATGATGCGAAGAACACAATATGTACTGCCTGATTATGATGATAGTTTTCTACCAAATTACACAGAAAACAGGTTGTTATAATTTTTTGTTCAACACTTTCGGGGTTTTAATTGTAATTATTAAGTATATAAAGGATGAATATTCTTTAATATCAGTACATTGTAGTAAGAGTGTTGAATTTAGACTAAATAATAAAACCTATTCACACTTGCCTTCAATAATTGGTTTACCATTTCTATAATATACGAGCAAATGGCGAATAGGCAAGTTTATTCTATCACAATAGAGCTTCTCTGATATGTAGATTATATCAACTTGCGACCATGAGCCGGAAATTAAAAATGAAGTAGGTGTGTAAGCTTCTCTCAAAATATTATCAAATACTCTATTTCTATATGAGTATGTCTATTGTTTCAATATAATAGTAATAATAAAAACATAAATTTTAAATATTCAGATTGATATCACATAAATATTTTGAATGAATTTACCAAATTATAATTTTATATATTCAAATGTTAATTAATTTACTATTGTTTAGAGATGGTACGAACGACCCTTTTAATGGAGATTTAAAAGAACCAAGTGTAAATAGTATTGGACAAGCATGCCAACAAATAGATTGCCCAGGAAATGTACCTCATTCTTCAGGTATTATTATTGTAATATTGTATATTTATATAAACTTTGTTCGGTCTTGTTAGAAAACACACATATAAATACATATATATATATATATATATACAGGGCCGGATTTAGAAATTTAACGCCCCGGGGCACTGACAAAAATGCCGCCCCATCCCTGAAATTTTACGAACTTTCGAACTTTTTTTTAAAGCAATCGCGCTGCTTCAGCTGCTATGGGTAAAATATAGAAGCGCGAAAGGGCCGCGTCGCAGTCTAACGGTTAAACAATGTTACAGAACTTATATAATGCAAACAAAATTTATACTTATTATTCTAATATCTTTAAAATATCTGATAATTTAATGTGTTTATGTCTTATGATCACTTTTGTCCGCCAAATGTTTCTTTTTCAATTTTTTTTATTAAACCATCGAAACCATCGAAACCATCGAAACCGCTAGACCTGCCCCCCGTAAATTTAAGCAGTTATTTATTCTGTAATTTTTTTTGAATGTTATTGGTCGCTTTTTCCTCAAAAACTGAATTATTATTTTTGGCATTTTGGCCCGTATCTTCAAAACAGTTGGACCTGCCTTGACCAATAACTAATCGCACGTCTCCATATCAATAGGAATGAAATCATTTAAATCGGTTGATCCGTGTTCTCGAAATCGACTTGAATAATTAAAAAATATTAGATTTGTATTGATGGGGAGATTAGCTTTTGGTACAGGCAATTACGAAAAATGGTAATTGAGTTTCGATATTTCTTCTCTGAAATAGCTACGTAGCGCGATTGCTTAGTAAAAAGTTCGTAATTTTCGAAAAATTTCAAAATACAGAAAATGTGTTTTAGAAGTCTTTTTTTATTTTTCAATAAAATTTAAAGCTCTTTATAAAATGTAATTTTCAGTAAGGGATGTTTCAGTAATTTGTCTTAAAGCAAAATGCCATGAGTCACTAGTTTAATTTTTTTTTTCGACGCTATAAGCTTGGAAGTGCACAAATACGTCATTTTAAAAGATCTCGAGAACTGAAGAACATATTCTTCTTAAACTTTCACCTTGTTTACGGATCTTTATATTAGTCAAATTGCCAAATTTGATAACTTAATAACCAATTTGATAATTTACGTTCGGAGAGGGAGGCTAGGCAAAATAATAAATTTTAGTTAACATTTATTTGAACCCAAATTTTGCATTGCAATCGTATTATGTTTTGTTAATTATATTTCTTGAAATAAAAAATGTTGTCAAAAAAGTTGATTATATTGTATAGAATTTTTTTTCTCAGTATCCAAATTTTGCCGCCCCCCAAAATTTGCCGCCCTGGGCAGTAGCCCCGATTGCCCCTACTGTAAATCCAGCACTGTATATATATATATATATATATATATATATATATATATATATATTAATATATCTCATACTATGCAACGTTCGAAATATTTATTAACTTCCCGTAGGGTAAGTTATTGTAATCGTCCAAAAATCTAAATTGAAAAATTTTACAATTCTCGGCGTTTTGAAGGTTTCTGAACATTTTGGCATACCTCAGAAAAAATGGATGTGTGTGTATGTATGTATGGATACAATTTTCCAGTCACGTTTTCGGGCGCACGGATCAACCGATTTGAATGGCTCAAAAAACATTAGATTCCTTTTGATAGGGAGATGTGCTATTAGTTTTCGGCAAAGGCAGGTCCCGCCGTTACGGAGATACGGAGCAAAAAGTGCAGCAAATAGAAATCGAGATTTTGAGAGAACGGAGTATTCGATTTGAATGATCAAAAAGCATTCAATTTGTATTGATTAGGAGAAATTGTGATTAGTTTTTGGCAAAGGCAAGCCCAGCAATTTTGAAGATGCAGAGCTATATGTACAAAAAATTGCAGTTTTTGCAAGAATTATGCATCCGATTTGAATGATTCAACAAACATTTCTGTGACAAAGTGTTCGTGTTGACAAAGCAACTGCTCTTATAAAGAATTCTTTTCTCGATTTAATTTTGTTTCAAAAAAATATATTTTTGTATATCGAAAATAATTCAGATTTTATTTTTAATTCTGACTAAAGTTCTAATATACTTTAAAATATAATAATTTCAACTTTGAAATTCAGTTTATATAATTCTTATAAATATTAGACAATGTTACAGTATTTATTTATAATAATCTATTTGAAAACATTCAATATTCCTCGAACATTTCGTTAATTACCACTCGTTAATTTTATATTTTATTCTACTTTATTATTTTATTTTCACTTTTTTGGGACGGCGTTTGAAGCATTTTTTATTCAGAAAGAAATTTTTATTTATTTTTTTCAAGTAAAAATACTTTACACATACCTTGTTCTTTCAAGAAACTCAACCACTGGGCTATGTTTTTCCTATTTATGTTTGTATTACTGGTAGATAACATGTAAATGTCAGAACCTATTTAAATTTAATGAAATATTTAAACATAAACCTAACCATTTCAACAAGCTCAATCATTTCAGCAGTTACTGATTCTGAAAACACAATTCCAAGAAATTTATCACCTGAAGTTTTGTCGGCTCTTCAAGGAGTTAGATTCATTGCTCAGCATATCAAAGACGCAGACAAAGATAATGAGGTAAGACAAAATAATTATTAAGCATAGGACATAAAATATAATTGATAATTTACTTATTAATTTTATTTCATGTGCAACAATTCATGAATTGTAAGCATTAGGAACTAAAACTCTTTTACGATTTTTTTTAAAGAAACCATTTTACAACTATAAATCATGTTTGATAATAATTTCGTCATTTCATACATTTTCAATGTGCATGATAATTTGGAAAACAAATTGTTTAAGATCTTATTATTTTTGAATCGATGTACATTTGGAGTCTCAAATAGATGAAAATTATTATGATTATAATTAACTTTCTGTAGGGTAGTTATAGTAATGGGCTGAAAATCGAAAATGAAATTTTTTGCAAATCTTTACGTTTCAAAAAATTGATGTGTGTGATAGGTAAATGTGCTGATTAGTTTTTGGCAAAGCCAGGTCCAGCCGTTACGGAGATACGGAGCAAAGAGTGCAAAAAATATAAATCGAGGTTTTGAGATAATTGAGTATCCGATTTGAAGGATTCAAAAAACATTCAGTTTGTAATGATTGGGAGAAATTGTGTTTAGTTTTTGGCAGAGGCAGGCCCAATCATTTTGGAGATACCGAGCTAATTGTGCAAAAAATTACAGTTTTGTGAAGGCTAAGCATTCGATTTGAAATGATTCAAAAAACTTTTTGCTTGTTTTGTCAAGATAATTGCCTTCGGAAAAAAAGATTATTTCAATTTTTTTGTCTTTTTTTTAATATATCGAAAATAATTCAGATTTTAATTTTAATTCTGGCGAAAGTTAAACACGTCCTGCTTTTTTTAGAAAACTTAATATTTGTCCCGATTTCAAGTTCTTTGTCCCAGATTGTTCCGAATTTCCAAAAAGTATGGTTGTAAGTAAATGTAATGATTCGTTATTCTTTACAATTATAACATTCGATAAAATATAATTTTTTTACATTTTTCTCTGTATCTCCGAAAACGCTAGACCTGCCTACCCAAAAATTCAACCAATTCTTCATTTTGTCAATACAAATAAAATGTTTTTTGAATCATTTAAATCGTCCGCTCCGTTACCTCAAAAACTGAATTGCCATTTTTGGCACTTTTTGTCCCGTATCTCCGAAATGGGTGACCCTGTCTTCGCCAAAATCTAATAAACACGTCTTCCCATCAGGAATTGAATGTTTATTGAATCATTCAAATCGGTTGATCCATGCACCCCATGAAATCGTGGACGAAAAATTGTATCCAAACATACATACACACACACGTACATCCATTTTTCCAAAGGTTTGCCAAAATGTTCAGAAACCTTTGAAATGTGAAGATATTAAAAAAATTATTTTGATTTGTTTGCGATTACTTTAACTTACCCACCCATAATGTTTACATATAAGCACGCTTACATGTATGCAACATAAAAATCTTTAACATAAAAAGTATTTGCAGATAGTCGAAGACTGGAAATTTGTGTCTATGGTCCTGGATCGTTTCTTTTTGTGGTTATTCACGTTGGCCTGCTTTGGAGGAACATTTGGAATTATCTTCCAGTCGCCATCATTATACGATACACGGATTCCAGTCACCAATACTGAAGTTGGAACTGGGCGAAATCATTTTATGATGCCTCCAGAAATTTTCAGGCCCCGCCTCGAAATTTATAGATCTCAGGAGATTGTTGATTAAATGAATACAATTCTTAAGTAAGAGGTCACTTTAAATAATTTAAATTTTGGCGAAATAGAAAATCGAGCGTTTTTCAAACATAGTGAGACATTTATAAATCGAATATATATAGAAATATAGTTTTAAAACTACATAACAGAACGATAAAAAAATGTCAGAAATTTATGAAATTAATGTTTATTATAAACTGAGAAAATATCGGTAAAAATTGAGCCTTATGTTTAAGAGAAGAACTTTAAGTTCTTAAAAATTTAATAAATAGTGAACAATCATTTTATTGTATGATAAAGAATAAAAACTCATAGGTTTTATTGATTGGGGAATATTAATATTCTGATTTAGGTATATAAAGTATAATAATATATAAACTTATTATTAAAGAAAACATGATTCGTAAATATAATTATGATCAAATAAAATATTTATTTATTACTCCTTAAGATAATTTAATAATTTTTTTGAAAGAAAATGAAATGATATATATATATATATATATATATATATATATATATATATATATATATATATATATATATTCAAATATAAATATTCAAATACTCTTCGAAATATCCATAAATATTTAAAACTTTTATATGAGAAATGTAGTCTAAGAATTATAACATATTGATATATGAATGAGAAGCTAATTTTTCGTTTTTTTTTATTTTTATTTGCACATAGAGGAGTTCTTAATGTTTTTAGTGAGATTATAATAAATGTATTTATAATTCTGTGAAGCCAAAGTATTGAATCAAATATTGAAAACGAATATAAGATAAAGATAGATATTAGAGTTTATAATGTGATGTATGAATCAATATGAGGATTAAATTATTATAATTCATTTTGAAAATTGTTGAAAGTTTTTATTATTATATACTATTCTTAACTTTGAATACATTACGTTTCTTATGAAAATTGTTTCTATATGTAATTAAAACATAAAAATACCATGGTATTTTTCACCACAAATATCCTTAAATTAGCATTGTCATTTGACAAACAATTTGAATTTAAAAAAATATAAAATTGTATTTATTAAATCGACAATTATTTTACCGTTATAATTTTTACGTACATTCATAATTTCTGAGATATTACAAAACCACCTTGTTAGATATTACAAAACCACATATTTAAAATTGTAATTTTGCTTTTCCAAAACGGCTGCTTTGTCTTTTGATTGTCTAGTGATTCCCAAAGTGGTCCATATGGATCCCCAGGGGTCCATGGCAACTTTCATAGGGTCCAAGGCAGCAAAAACTAAATTTGGGGGTCCACAAAATGAAAATAGGGGTCGACGGTATATTTAGAATTGAACCAAAAAGTAAAAAAAATACATATATTAAGTTTTACATAAGCTGGCTGTTAAAATGTTTAATTTTTGCAAGACTTTTTGTGCTTTTTGCGTCTTAGAATTTGTAGATACTAAATATAACTAAACAGACGATTTAACAAAGTGTAACACAAATATCGTTTACTTTTCTCGTACTTTTGATTCTGCAACAAGATACTTTGGCCTGGATCTCTTTTAAAAAATCCAAAATAAATTTTTCTTCTCGTTCAACGCAATTTGAAGCAATTTGTTTTATACTTCCTGCCTCAAAATAATTGAAGAAGGTTTCTGCTTTTTCGAAAGGAAATAGTTACATTTTATTTAATTGGGATTTGTCTTGAAGAAATCTATTTTGTTGTTACCTATTTCATACTTATTTTTGTGCGTAAAAAGTATTTTTGAAAATTTGTTAAGCGTTTTTTGGCTGCTTTGAATATAACTGCTTAGAATAGAATGACAGCAGTCTCCAAGTAAAGGTCATTTTTCAATAAAATCTTAAAAATAAGAATTTAATGTGTAAAATACTAATCCTAATTTGTAGGTTTCTTGGTTATCTTAATCTTCTTATATATAAAAATGAATCGCAAAATGTGTTGGTAAGCGCATTGCTCAACAACGCCTGGATCAATTTGGCCAATTATTTTTTTAAAATGTTTGTTGAAGTCCAAGGATGGTTTTTACGGCGAGAAAAAGTCGAATAATTGCCGGAAAACCCTAAAAACAGCTCTTTTTTTTCACATACATCTTTACGTTTGAAAGGTTTCTGAATATTTTGACATACTTTGGAAAAAATGAATGTATGTGTGTGCGTGTGTGTGCGGATACAAATTTTCGTCGACGATTTCGGGAACCGATCAACCGATTTAAATAATTAAAAAAACATTCGATTCGTATTTATAAGGAGACTTGCTGATTAGATTTTGGCGAAGGCAGGTCTAGCCGTTCCGAAGATACGGGGCAAAAAGTGCCAAAAACGGTAACTCAGTTTTTAAGAGAACGGAGCGTCCGATTTTAATAATAAATAAAACATTTTACTTGTATTGATGAGATGAAGAACTGAATATATTTTTGGAAAGGCAGGTCCAGCGATTATGGACTCTTAATAAAAATAAGTTTAAAAAATGTCATTTGGCGGTCAAACATGTTTTTTGGACATATGTACAATAAGTTTTCAGATATTTTATATAGATTTTAATAATGTGTACACATTTTGTATATTTTTTTTTGGGTTCCTTACCAAGATTTTTAATTGCGGTACGGGAAGTTCTAGCAATTTGCTTTAAGGCACGATGTCATGCACCCCATAGATAAATAAGCTTAAGCCATAGACCAATACAAATTGTATAAGGTCTATGGCTTAAGCACATTTCTTTTATCTATGCATAAGGATATGCACAATGCACACCACTAGTTTTATTTTATTTTCAAGCAATGTGACTTTTCGAAAACACTGTTGGTATCAATGTATTTTGACAACTGTAGAAATACTTGATTGTAGGTTAAAGATTTGTATGTTAAACAAAGAATATGCAAAATAAATGAGATTTATATAGAGAGAATAAATTATTATATTTTAATCATTTTCATAAAAAAAAACAGATTTTAATTTCTGATAGGCCACGCCGACCAAACTACTGTCTGCCACTAGTGAGTAAGCCAACTATGCTTATTTATCCTATGTATATGCACGTATTTGTGTATATATATCACTGAATTCAATAAAAAGACTAAGTTAAGGTGAGCCACAGTTATTGTTAAAACAATACTGTTATTTCTAATAAATGTTTCTATTTCTGCAGTATGGGTTTCAAGTGTGTAGTATCTACTTGTGGAAAGTCCCGCAAACATGCACTTTTGCATCGGTTTCCTCTTTATGTAAATGTTAGAGAAGAATGGTTTCGTAGAATTGGTGACCCAAAACTGTTGGCAATGAGCCATAAACAAATTGATGCTAAACGACTCTGCACTGAACATTTTAGTGAAACTTGTAGATTTCCTGGGAGTTGGATGGGGTCAAATTTAAAAATAGGATCTTTACCAACGATTAATATGCCTGGTTTCAATGGTGATCCTTTGGCAAAAGAAAATTGCTTGATGGAAGTTTCTTTTAAATACACACGTAATAATGACAAAGGTATTTATAATAATTCACTGAAGAGCAGAATTGGCACTATTACCCATAATGTATGTGTGCACTGAATTAATTATTTAATATATAATTTAAACCAACTAATAGCATATTCAATACTGGAACCATACATTCTGGTTTGATCTGGATATTTCACCTTGTGTCCAGGGTTTTTCTAAAATCAATATTTGCAACTACCCAACAAATATCTGTTGCAAAAACTCTGAAATCGAATTTTTAGACTACCTGGCACAACAGCAAATTTTTACTGAACTAATTAATTTTCATTGAAAAATTTGGACCTACTGATTTTAATCCTTAAATATTTGTTACTTTAAATCATAAGGACCCCGAAACTTTTCAGTGTATACTTAATACTAAATAATCATAATATTTCAGAGTCCTGTGTAAATCAGAAATCATCTCAACATACAGAATCTATACCCGTACCTGCACCAGCACCTGCACCTATTCCGCTAGCTGAACCGAGCGGTTAGTTTATGTGAAATGAACTGCTGATATTAATTTATCGTTAACATAACTTTTTTCTTATTTAGTTACAGTAGAAGGAGCAAAATCTACTATAGAATTGCCATTGCCCCTTAGATTGACAGGTATTGATCCTCATTATATACAGAGATTTTTTGTTTTTTAGCTTCATATAATTTAAACACATTAATAAATAAATTATTAAACAAATAATTTCAGCTCCAACTACTACAATGTCTTTCGATAAGAGCAAAATTCAATATCGGTGTTCCAAATGCAAATTAACATTTATTCTTAAATCCCAACTTTTGAAACATATACAGCAAATACATATCAACCAAATTAATAGATCTAAAAATAAACTAAAGTATGGCTGCCGAATATGTAGTAAAAAATTTGCATACAGAGAATCAGTGAGATATCACATATTATCAGAACATAAAGAAAATTTGCAGCCGCTATTTAAAACCAGTCAAGATTCCAATGATTCAGTAAATGAAAAACAATCTGAAGGAAAGCAAAATTTTGTTGAGAATGCATGTTTATTGACTTCCTTTGAATCCTCAAGAGTGAGAAATTCAGATTCTAGTTCTTCATCACATAACATACATTTAAAAAAAATAGAAACACGAGAACTACCGAATATAGAAACATTGTATTCAAATATTTCAGGCATATTTCTGAACCAGCAAAAGGTACTTGTGTCAGATCTTATAGAATTATCAGATGCTCTGCAAAATTATGAACTCAGTTCTGATAAAGTAGAAATTGTTTCTAGCAAATTGAAATCTATTATTACATTTGTTAAGACAGGCATTAAGAATAAATAAGTCATAATTACTTTATTGATAAACAATATTTAGAAAATAAATTAAATTATTTTTGTTTTGAATTTTTCCTTATTTTAACTTAGTGCCTATTGTTAGATAATTTGGATATTGCTATTTTCTTGGTGACTCAAAGCTCTTCTGGCTGTTTTGAGTACGCTCGTGTAAAGTTATATTTTATTATTGGTCAAAAGTACAGAGTATTTCAGCAATAAATATTATGCAGCAATTAATATTATGTTTTAAATAGTTCATCAATTTGTTTTTATTTAAATGTGTGAGTAGCTAGTTATTTGAATCGCATAAAAAAATTATCTGCAAATTATATAAGAAATAAGTCTAAGATTTAGCAAATTCTTATGATTCGCACAGAGGACTATAATATTTTCCATAATTATATGAACTATTTGAGTGCTACTTTAGAATTTACTCAACATGTTAATTGTAAACTTTCATGATTAATTAATTTTCATAATTAAATTTAAACTTAAATAAAATTTGGATTCACTTTGAATTCATTTACATTTCTTAAGATTTTATACCATTTTATCTATTTTTATTAACTTCCTGAAGGAGATTATATATTAACGAAAAAATCCGATTTGCTAATTTTATGCTTCTCGAAGTTTTGAGTCGGCATTTCTAAGGAACGGGTGGAGCGATTTAAAATTTCATATTTAAATGAACTTTATTTAAATGATTTAATATTTAAAAGACATTCGATGTAACTCGATAAGAAATTAGTTTTTCATACTGATCGGCCAAACCGTTTCTTTGTACAGAGAAGTGAAAAATGTTCGTCAGTTGTCGCTAAAATCTCGCTACCTCAAGTTTTTGGATGTGTGCATTTTATTCACAGAAATTATTGAATAATGAAATAAATAGATTTTTCACGTCTGTGTTACCTAACAAGCAGTTTATATAATTTTTCTGGTTGTGTAAGAAATGTTACCATTAATTTAAATAATTATTTAAATTAATATCAAGGACTGAGTACGTACGATATACGTACGTACGTCCAATAGTATTTTCTTGTAGCAGCTTCTCCAGCTGCTTAATCGTGCTTAATAGTTTACAAAATAATATGTTAGTTTTCTTTTAAAAAAACGTATTTCAATGAAATTTAACGTGGCGATAAAGTTCGTGCACTAATAGTCGTTAATAATACGAACTATTTACTTATATATGCATGCTTACGAAAATTGGCTGAATTATAAAAATTCATTAAAATCTTGAGAAGGGAAAACTTTATTTTCGAAATAACAGTTAATTCAAAACTAAATTTCAGTTGATTAAGTTAATTATTACACCTATCTCAAAGTTTTTGCAACCTGCATTAAGGCAACTTTCAAGTGTTTGACTTCATATTAATAAACAAACTCCTAAAAGCAATAAGGGTTTGTTTATTATTTAAAGTGACGAAAAATTATTGAAAGTGATCAAATTTACAAAAATTTATAAATAATAAGGGCAAATAAGGGCTTACATTTGCTTATTTATCTATGCAAATCTTTATATCCTTTTCTTTTATCTATGGTTTCCGATCTATTTTTACTTGTTTATTGCTATGCTCACGTACTCTGTCATCTAAATTATGGTCTTTGTTATTATCTGTGATTCTGATTGACAGCAATTGTCAGTGAACGTCATTATCCTAGAAAATATAATACATGTATAATACTATGAGTCATTATTAAGTGCATACATTAAATTCGTCATAATTGACTTTCATTCGGATATTATAGTAACACATTTATGTAGTACACTACAGTAATTTATATACATACACACTTCAAATTATTTCTTTTTTATTTAAATTTACATATACTTCGAATCTAAATCGTACAGAATGTTTTCCAGCAGTCCAAACTATACAAAGTTAAAAACGCATTTGAGACTGTCAATAAATAGACTAAAATTAATGGAAAAGAAGAAAACGGAATTAACCCAAAAAGCTAGAAGGGAAATTGCAGATTATTTGCAAACAGGAAAATATGAAAGAGCAAAAATACGTGTTGAGCACATCATACGGTATTTGTTTACAGAATTCTTATTTAAAATTAAGTAATGAACAGTTTCATTATTTAGAGAGGATTATATGGTCGAAGCCATGGAAGTGGTAGAAATGTACTGTGATCTGGTTTTAGCTAGGTTTGGTCTTGTAACTCAAATGAAAGAGTTAGATTCTGGTCTTGCTGAAGCTGTATCCAGCTTACTGTGGGTTGCACCTCGTATGCAATCTGACATTCAAGAACTCAAAGGTACATTTCATTATTGTATTCTATTTAACTATTTGTGCAATGTCCTAATTGGTTCATTTTTTGATTAGTTATTTCAGATATATTAACTGCTAAGTATGGTAAAATGTATGCAGAATCGTGTCGTTCTGATACTATAGGGACTGTTGCAGAAAAGCTCAAACACAAGATGATAGTTCAAACTCCACCTAAATTGCTTGTAGAGAAATATTTAATCGAAATTGCAAAAATTTATAATATTGATTATCAGCCTGATCCAGAAATAATGAGGGAAGATAACCGGCCAATAGGTTTGTAGATTAGAAAGCCCTTTATTGAGTTTGTTTTATATGTATATAACCATGACTTATTCACATATTATTTATTGTCAACATAATAATGATATCATCTTTATATTACATCATTATTATCTAGCATTATTTGATATTGTTGATTTAGTTTTTTTTAATATAGGTACTACATAAACATTTATGATTATTCAAATAATTTCAATTCCCATGGTATTTATTTATATAAATGATTGTAGGTATGGATGCCATGCTAATTGACTTATCTGACAAGAATTATTTAGGTGGAAATTCATACCCTCCAGCACCACAAGCAGGATTTATTGGATATCCTCAACCACCACCAGTACCAGCAGTACCTTCTCTTCCATTTAACTATCCAGAGGTAGGATTTTATAGCAAATTTTAATAATCAAAATTCAACTATTTATGATAGAAATAATTGATTTAATCAATGAATATTTTAATACCTTTATATTTTTATTCCTTATTTTGCTTTGCATTTTACGAGATTTTGAACTGGACTTCAAAAAATAATTTTAGCAGCTATAACTAAAATTAAATGTTTATAAATTATATTTCTAAAATGACCGGTAAACTGTGGAAATTAATTAAAATAATCAGTTTTTTTAAAAAGCAGTTCATAATTAAAATTTGAAAAATTGAACATAAAATAATTGTGCAAATTCTTAGTTTTATTTGATTAGTCTTATTATAATTCAAATGAAATATGTAGTTTGGTTTTAACTTCCCATAGATTTCAACTTCCCAGTTACGTATAGTTTTGTAAGGGTAGTAAATATGCAGGCACATTACATACTTTTTATAATAATATTACATAAAGTCTTGTGTAAAAAAGTTGATCTTATTTTATATATGCCATTCTTACTTTATACATCTTACATTTCCAAAATTTGATATTTTTGGAAAAATATCATGATTTTTAAATTTTTTTAATTATCAAATACACTTTTTAAAAATTCTTGAATTTGTTGACTATATTGACTTTTTCTAATTTATGCAAAATTAAATATAAATCAATTTTTGAAATCATTATTTTTCAAATTTGGATTTCATAATATCATATCGCGGTTCGCGTATTTTCGGAATATTTCAGTTCTTGGGCAAACTTCTAACTAATGTCCTGGACATTATAATTATACCCTTTGTTATAATAATTACTGTTGATGCAGTATAACTGGATATGAATATTTGCTCATGATTTTTACATGCATTTTATATGAGGATTGTGAAAATTAATGTTTCAAACTGTAGTCAAGTGTTTTTAATTCACCAATAAATCTTTAAAAGATCTCTATACCAAAAAAAAAAACAATCAATAACCTTATTATTTTTAACTTTGTACAACTTATGTTGTACAATATTTAATAACATTATGATTCAACAATATATATTGATGAATCAAATTTATTAGATGAACAAGAATCCCGATGGAAATATATCCGCATTCAATTACAATATTTCACCCAATCCATCTGTACCAGATCTTAAAGAAACAAAAGACATTAATACCAGCTTTTTGCAGGTAATTATGGTAGACGTAATTAATTATCATTTTATAAGTATTTTATTAAATTCATTTCATATATTAAAATTATTCGACCCTCAGGACGAGATAGGAGCAATGCCTCCAGCTTATGATTCATTATGTTCTGACAACATGCAGGTATAATAAATGAATATTTGTATGATTATAAATTTTGTAATGTATTTTAAAACTAGAAGCTAACTCATTTTTCAGGATGGTTCAAAGCCTAAACCTCAGCCTAGATCTAAACTACCACCTAATAATGATAATTATCCAGAGCTACCTATTTTGCCTTCAGTGCCTTCTGATATACCCATTCACCATGCAGATTCTAATGAACCAAAAAATCTCGATGATATAGATTTCGATGATTTGAGTAGAAGATTTGAAGAGCTCAAAAAGAAAAAATAAGACATTTAAAACAAGTAACATTAAACTCGCTTTTTATGCTTTTTTTTTAAAGTAAATAGTTTTATTATTTATGAACACAGGAGCACAATATGAATTTACGTTTTAATTAACCTTACATGAACAGTTATAATTTCAATTTAAAGTTGTTGAAATGTTAATAGAATTTATTTCTATATGCACGAAAATCCTGGTTCTGAACCTGGTACATTATATTGCTTTTATTCCAAAAAATATGAAGATTTTACTATTTTATCCCTGGTATAAATATAGTCAATACACAAATATTTCAGAAATTTTAATATAAATAAATAATCTAGTACATAAATCCCATTTAAATTAGATTTGTGCAGTTTTTGAAACTTTTCTCAGTATTTCCATTTTTTTAATATTTTCCTCCATGGGAATAATAAGATTAATTTAATATTTAATTAAAGTATCTTTGATCATTATGATTATTATGATATATAATATGATTGTTGTATGTTTAACTATTTTGAA